GAAAAATGTGTGAAATATTTGATACGAAAGACTCGTTTGAGAGGTTTGGCGACGATTTGGTTGAAGTGATGGTCAGTTATCTCCCACTCGAAGATCGGTTCGCATTTGAATGTCTGTCCAAACGGTTCCAGACATTGATTTACACAACACTTACGGACATCGATGTCGACAACAAACTGATCGATAAATTACACGAGAAAAATATTTTTGGTGTAAAATATTTCACTTCAAAAAATTTGTCAAAATTGATGAAAAAATTCCCAAACATAACACGTGTGGACACAACACGTGTTCCCGAAAACGACTATTTAATGACATTTTATTTGGCACTAAATGAATTGCGAGACAATTGGCCACAACTTAAACACATTTATATAACTATTGCACCGTATAATAAAAAATGGGAAAAGTCTTTGTTTAAAATGTTTGGTCCATTGATCACACGTTTGGATGTATTATACGATTATTATCATTACACTGCAGATCAGCACCAATTTGATCCATCAGTGCTAACATATTGCCACAAATTATCTCATCTCAAAATACATCAATTGAAATATTGTTTTGATTCAAACAATCAATTATTGGTTGAAAACTTAATTAAGTTTGAGTTTAACTGCAAATTGAATTACAATAACCAATTGTTTGATATATTTGTGGCAAATATGAAACGTTTGCAAAGTCTGACCATAACTGAGATTTTTGCAGAGGATGTGAAAGAAGAGAATATCATTGAATTCATGGATCAGTTGACAAAATTATCTAATTTACGGGAACTTTGTCTATATTTTTATAACAAATATTACCGTCATCATGGTTATGTCGATGAATTACATGATAATTATATGGATAAATATTTATTTAATTCATTAAGTAGTTCTATACGTAAAGTTGGCACACAATTAATTAAATTACAAAGATTTTCACTCAATTGTTTAACAGATACACCGATACTTAGCATTTGTGCAATTAATTCATTACAATATTTTAAATCCATAACACGTTTGGATTTAAGTTTTTATGTCAATGTAAACAATGTGTTAACTACTGATTGGCGAGCATTGGATTCAACGCATTGTTTGCCACAATTAACACATTTATCACTTGGTTTGTGGCAAATAGACAATGAATTGTTAGACAAACTTACCATAATTTTTCCTAATCTCTTGTATCTCAATATTATGAACTATTATTATGATAAGACTAAACCGATTAATGACATTAATTTAAATCTTATCTCAAAACTACGTTTACTGAAGACATTAATAATACGGGAAGCGATTAGTATTCGTGTTAATGAAAGGGATTTGAAGGCAATGTTTAGCACAAGTGATAGATTAGAGTCCATTCAAATCACTGGTGAAAATAAGTGTTTTATTCAATTGAGAAATAATTGTTTCAAATATGAATAAGAATAAAAATTAATTATGAATTATCAAAAATTAACTAGTTAATTATAATTGTTTTAAATATTTATAAAAAGAAATTATTCTGCAAAAATATAACCAAAGTGTAATTTAATTATTTAAAATTATTTAATAAATACACTGATTATAAATGATATCCATTCTGATTTATTAAGCATAATAAATAAATTGTAAAATTATAATAATATATCTGTTTATTATGTTTATGAAAATGTTTTCAAGTTTTATTATCAATAAATACAGCAATTGTTATTGTAATCTATAATTACAACATTTGCGATAAGATATAAAATATTGTACAAAAATAAATGCCATTTCTTTCATAAAAATACTTATAAAATATATTACTTTCTTTGTTTCATTTACACAAATATATAAATAAATAATAACAAAATAATTTTAATTGTTTAAACATAAAAATTGAAATACAATCACTCAGGGTAAGTAGAATTTATATTAGCTACAATAATTGTGAGCAACATAATTATTATGATCTAATTAACAATGTACAGCATAAGCAATTATAAATTAATTTGCTATTAATGTACTTAAAATATTACACTGTTTACATAATAGCAACGAAAAAACAATGTTCACACAAAGTACCATGTTTAAAGACATGAATTTAGATGTCGGGAAATTTGACAGCGAGTTTGTTGACGAAGTGGGACCCATAGGGGGCGGAGGGTTTGGTATTGTGACAAAAGCCCGGCACATATCTGAACAAATAGACTATGCCATTAAAAAGATCAAAATAAGTGGTATGTAAAACACTTAAATAATTTTTATAAACTAGCTAAATTATGACAAAAGTATTATAATTTATTATAATGATTACATGATACTTATTATTAAGACTCGGATCAGCTGAATAAGAGGTTCCGTGAGAGAGATATGTGGCTAAAACTGGACTCCGATTACTTCGTTAAGTACCGCAACTCATGGCTAGAGATGTGCGACGACAGGACCGAAGCCCAGTTCAATCAATACAAGCAATTCAATATACATGACGATGAAACAGTGGCCGCGGATGAGCTAGATAACTCTGGCGACCCGAGCGAGGTCAAACTGCAGCCCCGACAGTACGCTATACTGCACCTACAGATGGAGTTGTGTTGGTTTACTCTCAGGGAGGCTATGGAAATGTGCGGTCAATACCTGGGAATTGATGGTAATCCGAACCAACCCCTGCCACCCATTGGCTATTTTATAGCCAGCGAAATGTTGCTGGAAATATTGACCAGCATCAATTATTTGCACGAGTACGTGCACGAGGGCAAACCTTACCCGATATTGCACCGGGATATAAATCCCAATAATATACTTATTAAGGCCGGCAGTGATGGCAGATTCATCAAGGTGTCGGATTTTGGCTGCGCTGTTGAGCATGTATTAATGAAGTCCACCCATTCGGCTAATGTCGGTACAATTAGGTACATGGCACCTGAGATTAATCAAGGTAGATACGATACTAAAGCCGATGTCTATAGCATCGGGGTCACTGTTCAGGAGATGTTCAATCTGGATATTAATTCGTAAGTGTGTATTTTTAATCTTGTTATTTTTGTAATTTGTTAGTTTTTAGATAATTTTATATGTTTATAATTAGTCAATAAAATATAATTGTATTGTTTGTAATTAATTATTAATATATGTTTATTATAAAATTATTTACTCTTAATTTGTAATTAATTTTACTATTAATTTAAAGGAAAGTAGAGTTGACGGGAAGATACAGGAAATTGTCTGAACTGTCAGTTAAATCAATTGATGGTATGAGACATCGGAGGCCCACATGTGCCGACTGGTTGGCCGCTAAGAGTGAATGGACTCTCGACTACGCGGAAGTGATGGATCAGATTAAAGACACCATTGATTTGTCCAAACATTATGATTATAATAAGGACTTTGTTTTGCTATTTCTTCAGACAAAGTATAAGTTTAATGAAAATATGAATTAATTACTATTATAAAACAATGTTTTTTATTATTCATAATATTTTATACAATTTTACATAAAATGGATTATGTATTATTATTGAGGTAAATACAATGTAACAATTACATTTAAGCATGTTTATCTAACGTAGTTTGTTTACATTTTTATTTTTGTATGAATATTATGTGATAAATGATATTGTTTATTTTTTATTAAATTTAAATTTAAAAAACTAAACAAAAAATAGTTTAACAATAATTTAATAAAAATGATTAAATAATTAATAGAATATTACAATTACTAAAATGCACAAGTCAAATGTGTATTAACATTAAAATAAAATAACTTTTATAATACACAAATAAAAACAGAACTTTATAATTATGATAACGTATTATTTTTTAATATTAAAAATAACTTTTGCTAAACTCTAGCCAAAATATTTGATGATATTATTGTTAATAAGTTTTTATATTGCTAAACTAAACTTGCTTTTCTAACATTCTTTGATAATATCCATGCAAAAATAATAGTTATACAACTACAATTAAAACCGTTATAAAATAAAACATAAATCTACCTACGCAAAACAGAACAGTTATACTTTATTAATAAGTAAAAACATTTTCCATACAACAAAATTATCATATTCATTTATCAATAATATTGTTGACTTAAAACAATACATGTCATAAATAATTCGAAATATATATTAATAACGTATAGCCTTTTATGGTGTTAAACATAGTCTAATATTTACATGATCATAGTTAAAGTTATATAAGGCAATCACACTTTGTTGGTCAAATCATACATAATATAAAAACAATCGTGATAAGTCTACTTTACTTAAATAGTTAATATTACTTATGAAACTACAATGTCTAACAGCAAACATGATAAACCAGTTGTGCTCCAAACGGAAAATGTGGTCGAAGTGCCAATTAATTTGGACCATTTTACGCACCCAAATCATCTAGCTAATTTATTTGAGCTAGATGATCAATGTTTGGGTGCGGGCGGGTTCGGGGTTGTCATTAAAGGGCGTAATAAAATTGATGAGAAAGATTACGCCATCAAAATGATATTTATACTTGGTAAGTTTGTTTTACAAATTAATGTATTTATTTTTTAATTAATTAACATAATAATTTTATAATTATAAAATATTTTGTTTACCTTGTTGAAACTAATTTTTATAGTTTAGTTTAAATGTACTTAAATGTTATGCTATTATTTTTATTACTGGATAATAAGCACTATCTAAATATATAATTACATAATTTATAACTAAAAATTTAACTAACATTAATTATATTTCATCATAAATGCACCATAATTAATAAAATTCAATAAACCGGCTAGGTGAAAATATAAATAATTATTTAAGTTATTGTTTTTGCTTTATAAGATGATGACGAGAATAGCCTCCGGACAGAAATATTAGCCAAAATACGTGAGATTAAGATATGGGCCAAACTGTCGAGCGATCGGTACGTCCAGTACAGGAGCGCATGGCTGGAGGGCCCGGACGACGAGTGCCGGCACCGGTTTGTCAACCACTGGTACGCGCATAAAACAGGGTCCGGCAGTTTTGATAAGACCCAGGTGGAATTTATGCGCAGCCTATACCTACAGGCTAAACACTACCGAGTGCTGAACATCCAGATGGATTTGTGCCAGACATCCTTAACCAAGGTGTTGGCCAACACCCGGAGCCACTTTGACCGGCCGGACAAACAACTGTTACCCCCATTGGGTTACTATATAGCCAGCGAATTGATGGCCGAAGTGTTGGACATTATACGTGACTTACACGAGAGGAAACCGCCAATAATTCACCGCGATATTAAGCCAGACAATATCCTAATCGCCCATGGTGGTGATGGTGGCCGTGGGGACAGGTTTATTAAGCTGTCGGACTTTGGCCTGTCTGTTGAGCACTCGTCTGAGTCTAAGTCACGTACACTTAATGTGGGCACCGAGAAGTATATGGCACCGGAATTACGTGTGGGTAAGCAACGTGGTAATTATGGGACCAGTGTTGACGTGTATAGCATTGGGGTTGTAATGGAGGATGTGTTTAATTTTGATGTTAACGGGTAAATGATTGAGGGAGTTGGTACAATTATTTTTAAATTATTTTATACTATTATTTTAGTAAAAAGTATACTTTGGATAAGAAATACGAGAATATATTTGAACTAACATTGAGTTCACTAAACAATGAAAGCCGTAAACGACAGAAATGTGCTGATATATTAGCCGCCAAAGACCAGTGGGCTCTCAATTACCACGATGTTAAAGACCTAATTAATAGTAATGTTGATTTAGATATGGATTACGACTTAAAAACAGATTTTGTTAATTACTTTCTTAAAACTAAATACAATATAAATGAAAATATTAATTAATTATTTAATTAAATCCTAAATATACTGTATTGAGAATAAAATAATTATTTTATTAAAAAAGTTTTATTACAAAATCTTTTACATTAATAAAAAGTTCTAGAACATTTTAAATGCAATCAACGTGTTAACAAAATAATAAAGCATTGTACCTGTACTATGTAGACTTGTTGCATCATTTATATTTTATAAATGTCAGTTTTATGATTACAGTTCTATTATCATTATGAGATAATTACCTGGTTATTTATCCAACAACCTACAAGCATTGTAATTAAATAGTTGGAAAAACGAAATAAACATTTAACATTGCTTATTAATTTAACTCTATTACACATGTTTCCGGTAATATTGTTTTGGTTATATAAGTAACACAAGTTTACTACAGTTAATTATGTAAACTATCATAGTTAACAATGAATAATCCATTAATAAACTACTCTAGTCTACAAGATTTATTTGTGCAAAATGAGCGAATGCTTAAAGATTTTGACCAAAATAGCGTTGAAACCATAGGAAAGGGTACTTTTGGTGAAGTAGTCAAAGCCAGACATGGAGTGGACGAAAAAGTATATGCTGTCAAGATTATTGAAATAACAGGTATTTAAAATTAGTATAATTATTTACAATTTAATTTTTCAAAATATCTATTATTAATAATTCTTATAATTAAACAAATTCATTAATTGTAATAACGTTAAGTGCCTTTTATGTAAAATATAATCTTTGATTCTGTTCTGCCCATTAGTTTCTTATTAACATTAATTGAATAAATAAAAAATAATATCTGATTTTAATGTACAGTCTATAATGATTGTAAAACTATATGTCCTTACAATCCTCTTATAAATATAATACTATTAATTAATTAATTAAATGTATTTAAAATCAGAATAATTATTTATAATATAATTATAAGTTTAATAATTAATAATATTAATTAATTGTAACAAGTGCCCATTATGTAAAATATAATAGTGCTCATTTTTCATTCTATTAGTTTATTATTAGCATTAATTAGATAAGTAAAAAATTATATTTGATTTTACTGTACAGTCTGTAATGTTTTTAACAATCTGTGGTATAATGATACTTTTACAAATATAACTCTTAAATGTTAAATGTTGCGCTTATAAAACATTTATATTTATAACTATTATTTAATAATACAATAATATAAAATTCTACAAAGATAATTATATTAAACTAAAAATTAAAAAAACTAAAGCATGTATAAAAATTATTTGTCAAAAAATTGATTTGTCAAGTTCATGTTTATTCTCATTTATTAATTTTTTGTACAATAGGAAATGAATGTCAAATACGAGAAAAATACGACAAACACATACGCGAGGTAAAAGTGTGGGCCCGTCTCGACGCCGACCACTTTGTACAGTACCGGAGCTCATGGTTGGAATGTGGTGGACACGAGTCTACCTCCCGGTGTCAACTGAGTCTCAAGCTATACATACAAATGGACTTGTGTTGGTTCACACTGGAGGACACCATCGAGAAAATGCGGATCCATTTCGGGCGCAAAGACAAAGAGTTGTGGCCAGAGTTGGGCGCATATATGGCCGGCGAGTTGTTGTGGGAAATATTGGAGGCCATCACATATTTACACACAATTAAGCCACAGATATTGCACCGGGATATAAAACCTACCAACGTGTTGTTAAAAGGTGGTGGTCCGGGCGCTCGGTTTGTCAAACTGACCGACTTCGGTGAGGCGGTTGAACATAAAAGTGAGTCCCAAAGTCATACCCAGCGAATCGGTTCCGATAAGTATATGGCGCCAGAAGTGAGAAATGGCAGCAAATATGGCACTAAAGCCGATATGTATAGCATTGGTGTTACCATTCAGAAGATGTTTAATTATGACATTTATAAGTATGTATTACAATAATAATAAAATTATTAATAAATTACTAATTCTCTCTCTCTCTCTCTCTCTCTCTCTCTCTCTCTCTCTCTCT